GACTCGCGATGATCCTCGCGAGCTCCCGCGCGGCGCTCGCGCCCGCCCCGCCGCGAGCGCGCGCCCCGCGCGTCGTCGTCGGCAAGTCATCATCCGCCAATTCCTCATCGCGCGGCCGCGTCGCCGTCGCGTCCTCCTCCTCCTCCCTCGCGGCTCGCGTCTTCGGTGCGAAGACGCGAGCCGCCGCCAGACGCGCGCCGCGCGGCTTCGCGCCCCCGCGCGCGGCCGCGAACGAGCCGCCGAAGGCCCCCGGGTTCGAGGGCGCGCCGATGGACCCGGGATCGCCGCAGGGCCAGCTGCTCGCGCACGTCCTCGACAACGAGCCGCAGCTCTTCGACGCCGCGGTGGAGGCGACGCTCGACCGCTTATGCGACGAGATCGACGACGCGGAGAGCGCGTCGAACGGCGTGATCGACGTCACGAACGACGACGGCGACGGGAACGCGGCGGACAGGGCGGCGCCCAAGAAGGGCGGCGAGCTCGTGCTCTTCCGCAGGATTCAAGAGATGCGCGCGATGGAACGCAGAAGCGGCGTGCAGGACGTCATGTACGCGCAGATACTCCAAAAGTTCATGACGATCGGCGTGGACATGCTCCCGCCGCTGGACGACACCACGCTCATCATGCGCGGCGTGGACTTGAACCAGCTCACGAAGGGCGTGCACTCCGTGGAGGCGTTGGAGATGGTGAAGGAGCACCTCCTCGGTATGCTCGGCCCCGAGGCATCCACCGCGTATTCGAACACGATGGTGCGAATGTCGAAACTGCAGGCGGCGCAGATGTACGCGGCGTCGATCATGTTCGGGTACTTTCTGAAGAGGGCGGACAAGCGGTTCTCGTTGGACCGCGCGATGGGGACGCTGCCGATGAATCCGATGGAGTCGGCGGCGGCGTTGGAGGCGCTGTTCAACAGCGCGAGCGCGATGGACTCGATGGACGAGGCGGACGTCCCGTTCGCGGGGGCGTCGGAGTTTCCCGGGTCTTCGGGGCCGACGTTCGACGTCGCGTCGAACAGCACGGACGACGACGCCGCGACCGCGACCGCCGCGGGCGCGGGCGCGGCGGGCGGCGGGAGCACGACGCTGAAGCAGTACATTCAGTCGTTCGACCAGCAGGCGCTCTCGGACACCGCGCGGATCGTGTCGCTGGAGGGCGTCGTCCTCGCGGAGCGGCAGACCGGCGCGCTGTTCGGGTCCGTGGAGGATCTCGCGATGGAGATGAAGGAAGCGCTCGAGAGCGGCGGCGTGGAGATAAACTCCGCGGACGAGCTCATGTCGAGGGTGCAGGAAGTCGTCGGCGCGGGCAAGGTGAAGACGTTGACGGTGCCGGTGGCGACGCAACGGCGGATCGTCTTGGAGGCTGTCGCGTTCGGGTCGTTCCTGCGGGACGTCGAGAGCGGCGTGGACGCGCGGGATGGGAGGTTGCTGACGCCCGCGCCGAGCGCGGGGAGGGGGAGGGAGCCGCCGGGGCTCATCGGAGGCGCGGCGTGAGCGTGTGCGCGCGTCTTATTTAAAATGCCATGTGGCGATTTTTGTGTACTGCCAGCTCACTCGCGCGAGGTGAGCTCTTCGAGTACTTCTGCCGCGTAAGTGTCGCCCTTCTCCGCGGCCTTCGCGTACCATTTTATCGCCTCGGGAATGTTTTTCTCCACGCCTAGGCCATCAGCGTAGTATATTCCGAGGTTGACTGCTGCGTCAGTGAAGCCTTGATTGGCCGCTTTCATGTACCACTTGAACGCCTCCTCGTACTGCTCCTTGTCGTTGTGGATACAGCCCACACTGTTTTGTGCACCGGCGTGACCCTGCTCCGCGGCCTTCGTGTACCATTTCACCGCCTCGGGAATGTTTTTCTCCACGCCTAAGCCATCTTTGTAGCATTTTCCGAGCTTGGCTGCTGCGTGAGTGAAGCCTTGATCGGCCGCTTTCATGAACCACTTGAACGCCTCCTCGTGCTGCCCCTTCTCGTGGTGGACAACGCCCGCGTTGTTTTGTGCTACGGCGTGACCCTTCTCGGCAGACTTTGTGTACCATTCCAGTGCCGTGTCGATGTTTTGCTCCACGCCGTGGCCGTGTCTGTAGCAAATTCCAATGTCATTCTCACAATACTCGCAGCCCTGACGTGCTCCTCTGTGGTACCAGTCAAGCGCCTTATCGTACCGCTTCGCGACTTCGTAGAAAAGGCCGAGGTTGCTCTGCACACCCAGAGAGGTCAAGTCAGCCCCCGCGTCTTCGAGAAGGCGGTGAAAATGCGCATCGGGCAGATCGAGCACGCCTTCAATCCCCAGGACGTATTCATCCTTCATAAACCAAGTCTTCTCCTCGTTCAACTTGTTTGGACACCCCGTGAAGTCGAGCGAGGCTGGCAGCGAAGACGCGACTTTTGAAGCCTTCCTCCACACCGTGTTCACCTGCGCGAGGGCGACACGCGTTCGAACGTCCGTCACGTGCGAGAAGACGACGCTCGCGACATCTTCGTTCACGTCGAACGTCGGGTGCATCTCCGCGTACTCCGCGATCGTCGCTTTCGCGGCGGCGAGCTCCTCCTTCGTTTGCGCGAGCTCCGACCTCGTGGCTTTGAGCAGTTCTTCGAGTTCGCTGACGCGCGCTTCGAGGCCGCCGCCGCCCGGGGCGCTGTCGTCGACGTCGCCGCCCGGCGCTTCGCGTGCGGGCGGATCAATCCGACGGCGCTTAGATTCGTCGTTCATCTCACCCTCGGGCGGTCGCGAGCGTGCGGCAGCGCGGGCGGAAGTGGCGCCGGCGGAGGTCGTTCGCCCCGAGAAACTCAAACAGAAGTTGAGCTCCTCGGCCGGGCTGGGTCTGCAAGCTGGCGCGTTGTTACGCGAATAACGTTCACCCGTCGTCCGCCATAACACGCGGCGGGCCGCGGTGCCGCCCCGAGGCGAACGCCCGCGACGTCCTCAGCCATGCTCGCGCGCATCGCGCATCGCGTCCGCGCCGCGGCCGCCGCCGCGCGCGCCGTCCGCGGCGCCGCGGGAGGTGGTCGTCCGTCGTTAGGGCAACCGGAAGAATCGTCCGTCGTCGTCCGCCGACGTCGCGGGGGAATCGCGTCGTGGGCGCGAGGGTGGGTCGCCGCCCACCCCGCCGCGGACCGCCGCGACCCCCCGACGACGCGCGGACTCGCGTCCAAGGCGGGGAAGTCCAAGGGCAAGAAGAAGCGGGGACGGAACGCGAACGCGCCGCCGCTCAAAGAGGCGATGCGCGCGCTCCTGAAAAAGGTCCATCCCGATCTCTTCCGCGACAAGCCCGAGCTCGCGGGCGCGGCGGAGACGAACGACGAGTCCCTGAAAGTGATCCAGGGCATCCTCGACGCGGTCACGAAGAGCAAGTCCACGCCGGAGAGGGGCAACAAGCGGCTGAAGTTTTACGTCCGCGACGAGTCGGTGCCCGGCGGCGTGCGGCTGGTGCCGTTCGCGCTGAAGACGACGGGAGGGGACTGCCGGAACCTCGTCGCGAGGCAGCTCGAGACGCTGTTCGAGGACGTGGGCGTGCCGTCGGAGTTCAGGTGGGAGGCGGGGGACTGGGAGAACTTCCCGGAGTCGGTCGCGAACGCGCGGGACTGGAGCCCGCCGCGGGACTGGACGCCGCCGCCGACCGCGCCCGCGCCGTCGCCGTCGACGTCGAGCGCGGACGCGAAAGTCTATTCCGCCGCCGCCGCCGCCGCGGACGCGGAGGAGCGCGAGCACGCGGCGAAGGTCAAGGCGGCGTTGAAGATGAACGAGGTCCTGTTCGAGACCCTCGCCGCGGTGCCGTGGATCCCGGAGAACGCGGAGGGGAACGAACGGTTGGGAGCCATCGTCCACGCGGTCATCCCGCGTTTAGAAAAAGGCGGCTGGCGGCTGCCGAGGGCGTCGCTCGAGGCGATCTGGCGCGGGGAGAGGGACGAGGATAAGGTGATCGACGGCGGCGACGCCGCGAGCGCGCTCGCGCTGGCCGCGATCTTACGGCTCTCGCGGAACTTCGAGAGAGCGCTCGGCGCGCCGGAGACGCCGCGAGCGGAGTTCTGGCCGCCGGCGCCGAAGGACTTTCCGCCGGAGGAGAGCGGCGGCGCGAGTTGAGACGGCGCGGACGCGGTCGTGGTCGTGGTTCGCGACGCGTGCAATTCAACGATGCTCTAGCTATAACACAACAGTAGTGTACGCTCCCGTCGCACCACGCGCGCGTCGCTCACTCCAACGCGTACGTGGCGACGTAACACTCGCGTTCCATCCCGCCTTTGAACACGTCCGCCGTCTCGACATCCTTGACGTCCTCGTCGTCGAACGAGACCCACGTCTCGTCGTCCGTTCTCACGTGCGCGAGGTAGTGGCCTTGGTCTAACGTGCTACCGATGTGCGAGATGATCCCGCGCAGGCGGTACGCCCCCGCCTGCGCGCGAGCGGCGGCGCCGACGAGGGAGCCGTCGTCGCGGAAGTGGTTCACCGCCGCTGAGGCTTCGTCGATCGGTTCAGACTCGTCATCCTCGTTCGGTGAAGAGCGGTCGTTCGCGCCCCAGGCGACGCGCGAGAGCTCGCCGTCGCTGTGCCGCGTCGCGCCGGCGCCGCGGCTGTCGTCGTCGGAACCGCTGACGGCGTCGCCAAGGAGACGCGCGCGTTTCGCGATTCGCGCATCAGCCGGCGACGCCGCCGGCGACGCGTCCGCGTCCGCGTTCGCGTCCGTCGACGCGCGCGGCGGCGGGCCCTTGAGCGCGTCGCCCGACGCGAAGTTTGCGAGCGACACCTTCATCGGGAGCGCGACGCGCTTGACAATCTTCGCCATTCGCAGCGCGCCCGCCCCCGCGTGTTTCCCGAGCACGACGTCCGCGTCTGCGTTTTCGTCGTTCGCACCGGAGAGACTCTCGACGAACCGGAACCGCTTCAGGTGCACGACGAGGACGCGCGGGAGGCGCACAATCTTCCTCGAGAGCGTCGCGCGCTTGCCGTCGCACCCGGGCTTCTCGCACGTCCGCTCGAGCGTCTCCGCGGCGAAGAAACCGTTCAGGAGCGACTCCAACGGCACGGCGCCTAGGTTCGCAGCCGCGCTCGCCGCCGCCGCCGCGCCGCCGCCGGTGCCGACGGGAATCTCCACGGAGAGGTGACGAAACGTCTCGTGTTTCACGCACGTGTCCCCGCACGCGTCGCACGTCAGCGTCGCCGCGACCGCGGTCGTGAAGTTCCGTCGCGTCGGGCACAGCGTGCGGTGCAAGGGAACGATCGTCGCGCCCGCGGAGGGAGCGGGGTCGGGCGTCGTCGTCGTCGCCGCCGCCGCGTCGTTCGCCGTCGCCGTCGCCGGCGGGCCGTCCTCGCCCGTCGCGCGCTTCGGAAGCGTCTGCTCCGGCGTCGTCGCCTCCGCGGCCGCCTTGCGCTTATACGCCCCGACCGCGGCGGCCATCGCCATGCTCGGCGCCGGCGCGGGGACGCCGCCGCTCGCGGCGCCGGCGTCGAGCTCGCCGACGCGGTACATCCGCGTCACCTCCTCCTCGAGCGCGTCGATGCACTCGCACAAAAACTCGTGCGCGTCGTGCTGCGCGTACCCTTCGTACCGGCGGTGCCGCCGCGTCACCGCGCGCTTCACCTCCGCGGGGGATAACGACCACTGGTTCGCGCCGGGCGCGCCTTTCGCGCCGGGCGCGGGCGTGTGATACGAAAACGTCGCGGGCGCCAACCCGACGGCGGCGTCCGCGGCGGCGTTCACCTTCAGCCGCCGCGCGTTCGCCTCCTTCTCTTTCCTCGCCTTCACGAGCTTCCGCATCGCGTAATACACGGAGTCGTCCGCGAACGGCGCGCGCGCCAGCGCGTCCGCGCACGTGTCCCGCGCGAAACACTCCAAACCGCACAACACCTGAAGCGTCGCGTTGAGGTAGCACGTGTTTCCCAGGTTCGTCAGCCCGGGCGTCCGCGGCGGTTGCGCCGGCGTGACCGCAAGCGCGGTCGCGTCGTGCGTCGCGTTCGTCGCCGCGTTCGCCGCCGCGTTCCTCGCCGCGCTCGCGAACGGCCCGAACATCCGCGGCGTCTTCGCCTCGTCCGTGAACGCGAACGGGTCGTGCCGTTTCGTCGTCGCCGTCGTCCCGGCGGCGGCGGAGGAGACGAGCCCCGCGCCCATCGCGTCCGTCGTCGCGCTCCTCCTCGTCGACGGCGGCTCCAGCGAGTTCTCTCCCGTCAGCTTGCGCATCTCCGCGCCGCGGCCTTCGAGCTCGCCGACCGTGATCTTGAGCCGATTGTGCGGCGCGAGAGGCGACGCGGTCGGTTTCGTCTCCGCCGCCGCCGCCGCGGCGCGTTTCCCTCCGTCGCGCCCGACGGCGGCGTCGTCGTCGAACGACATCCGCCGCGCGACGCGCCCGGGGTTCCCCCCCAAGCTCTCGCGCCGCTGCGTCACCGGCGGGGGCTTATCCCGCGGCGGCGGCAGCGAGTCTGGCGGCGTGCGGACGTCCGCCTCCGTCGCCGGAGCCGCCGTCGGCTTCGGGCGCCACGCGCTCGGCGGCGTCCGCGTCGCCGCCAGCCGCGTCGCGGACGGGTCTCGCTCTTCTCTTCCGCGCGCGTCGTCCGTCCCCGGGCGCGGCGCCGCGCGCTCGCGATCGACCGCGGGCGTGCGCGTCGTCGTCGTCGCCGACGGCGTCGTCGTCGTCGCCGCGAGTCCCGGGCGCTTCGCGAACCCCGCGGGACGGTACGCGAACTCTTCGTACTTGGCAGCCTGCGGCGGCCGCGTCGGTTTCGGCGTCGCCGCCGCCGCGGCTCGCGCCGCCGCCTTGGCCGCGGACCTCACCTTCTCTTTCTTCGCGCTCTCCGACGCCGCGAGCGCGGCCTCGAGCATGCCTCTGCCGCGCGGTAACGGGCCTGGCGTGCGGCGGTGGGGTGGGGAGGGAGGGTCAGATCGCGGCGCGGCGCGAGGATCGAGAGAAGAGAACGATCCCGTCTGTCGCTCCGAGATTCGCGCGGGTTTGAATTCGCGCGCTCGCGGATCGTCGGGGAGCGGGGGCGCACCTCCGCGTCGGCGTGGCATCATCGCGCGTGACGTGACGAGCGAGAGCTCTCGCGATACGAACGCGGCGCGTTCGTTCGGTCGCGGCGCGCGCGTCGCAATGCCGCAGCTGGGGGGGGTGCAGACATTATTGAGATTCAAAATCTGAGTTGACAACGCGCGGGAAGCGCCATCCGCGCCAGACCCTCATCTACCTGACTGCCAGACGGCACTCTGCGTGTGCTCTTCACGGTGCCGCGCCACTCGCGCGAGCGCCCCCCCGCGGAGAGAGGGAGGCGCGCGCCGCGCGCGGGAGCGGAGAGCGAAGATGTCGCTCTCGGAGGAGGTCCGCACGCGCTCCTCCAGCGTCGCGTCCACGAGCGACCTCGAGGAGACACCGCCGAAGTGGGAGCGGATCTTGTACCGGTGCGCCGCGCGTCCGTCCTTCTCCGATGACGACGATCCGCCCCGCCCGCCCGCGTCGTCGTCGTCGCGTTCCGTCCGTCCTCCATCGGACGACCCGCGTCAACCCGCGTCGATCGACGATCGCCGACCCCCCCCTCCCCCTCCCGTCCCTTCCCCGCCGCCGTATAGGCGGCAGCCGTACCCGGACAACCACACGGACGACTCCTTCCTCGAGCGCGTCGTCGTGAACGGACGCGTGATCCCGCGATCGCTCTCGGCCGCGACGTCCGTCGCGCGCGTCGTCTCCGCGCAGCTCGCGTGCGCGGTCCTCGCGTCCGTCGCCGTCGCGCACGTCCACGCCGGGCGCGTCGCGCCCGCGCGCGTCCTCGCCGCGAACGTCGCGTCGACCGCGTGCGCGCTCCTCGGCGCGATGGCGACGCGAGGCCCGAGGATGGGGCTCCGCGTCGCCGGCGCGCGGATCGCGGCGGCGGCGCCGGCGCTCGCGGCCGCGCTCGCGGCGTCGTCCGCGCCGTTCCGCGCCGCGGCGGTCGCGGCGGTGTCGACGGACGTCGCGGTCGCGGGCGCGATCGCGGCGCTGTTCGTGCACGTGCTGTCGTTCGACTACGCGCGCCGCGAGCGCGGCGGCGGCGGCGGCGGCGGCGGCGGCGGCGGCGACGATTTCGACGCCGCGACGCCGCCGAGGAACGGCGTCAGCCTCTCCGCGGCCGCGCTCGCGTCCGCGCTGCTGTGCTCGCGGCTGGACTCCACCGCGGCCGCGCGCGCGTGCGCGCTGACGTCCGTCACGATGTTCGCGACGGTTCAGGGGATGCGAAGCGACGCGCGGCGGGCGTCGACGCGCGCATTTCGCGCGGAGGTGCGTCCTATACACTGGTCCCCATACGACCGCGTCGGCGTTGTGAACGCCGATCCTTAAGGACTTTGCTCGGCGCATCTCTCCGCCCACCCCTCGCTTTCAATACCCACCATCGACGCCTTTCAACTCCGCTTCTGACGCCTTTCAACTCCACCCCGACATTCGCTCGTATGGAACGACCCTGAGGCGGCGCTCGCGCTCGTCCTTCACTTCGCCGCGGCAGCGGCGACGTCGCGCGTCCCGGGGCGGACGGGGCGCGTCGCGGTCGCGGCGTACGCGTGCGTCGCGTGTTTCATCGCGCACGTCGCGCCGAGGATGCTGGTGCGCATGATGCGGTACAAGGCGCAGATCAACGGGCCGTGGGACGAGGCGAGGGTGGGGCCGGCGCGCGCGGCGGCGGCGGCGGCGGGGGCGGGGCGGAGGCGAAGCGCGGGGGTGGGCGACGCGCGCGCCGGGCCGACGCGCCGGTGGGTAGAGAGCACGACTAGCTAGGATGCGGTAGCGTTTGTGTGCGCGCGCGACGTATCGCGCTCGTTCGTTCATTCGCGGTGCTTAGGACCCGTCGCCGTCCCGCCGAAAACCAGAAGAGTCGTCCGCGTCTGTTGGTCTGTGGCAGGTGTCTGTCGTCTGCGCGCTTCGAAGGAACTTTCTCAGAACTTTCTCGCGTCGGGCGAAGACGTGAATCACAACACGCCGCGCATGCTGGCGCGCCTGTCGACGAGGACAGCCCCAACGTCTGTTCGATCCGCCGCGCTCGCCGCTTCTTCGTGCCGCCCGCGAGCTCTCGCGCTCGGCGTCGTCGCCGGCCTCCTCGCGGCGAGCTCTTCAGCGGTCGCGCTCCGTCGCGGCGTCGCGTCGTCGCCCCTCGCGCGATCGCGATCCCCCTCGCGGCGGCGATCGTCGCAAGGCCCCTCGACGACGCGCACGATGGCGGCGAGCGGCCCCCCGGAGGGCGCCGCGGGCAAGCCCCCGTACTGGGTGGACGACGAGGAGCTCATGTTCCCTCCCGGGCGCAAGGTCGAGATGTTGAAGCAGCTCTGGGCGGGCGCGTACGACGGATGGACCGACGTCACGGAGATGCCACACGTGACGCTGTACCTGCGACCCATCTCGAGCCGCCCGCCGAAGTGGGAGCCGCTTGAGTGGCCGCTGCTGTTCCCGCGGACGGTGACGCAGACGCGGCTGTTCGCGCTCACGGGATTTAACCCGATGGGCGAGAAGGCGGACATCGAGGCGAACAAAGCGGCGAACGCGAGGATGGAGAAGGACCTGGAGACGTTGGACCCCAAGCCGCGGACGTGGTGGAAGGCGTTCGGGTTCGCGGAGGACTGGCGCGAGGACGGATTCGTGTTGGCGTACACGCCGGAGGAGGCGGAGGCGGCGCGGGCCGCGGTCGTGGAGCTCGCGAAGAAGTATAAGCAGGGCGCGATCTACGCGTACGAGCCGCTGTTGGAGCCGCCGCGCGTGGAGCGGAGCAAGGAGCTGCTGCTGCGGCGGACGATCGCGGCGGCGATGCCGGACACGGTGGAGGAGAACGTGGTGATGGAGCGATGCGGCCGGCCGGACACGATGAGATTCTCGAAACCCATCATCCCGGACGAGGAGTATCCTTGACGACGACTCGACGCGGTGTAATGATACGACTACCACACGCGATCGTTCGTTCGTTCGTTCGTTCGTTCGTTCGTTCGCTCGTTAAGTCGCTCGCGTGTATCGTTTCTATTATTGATGAATCGGTTTTTTGTTTTCTATGTGTTGTCGTCGCGCGGCGCCAGCGCGTCAAGTTTATTCTTCTTCCTCCTTCTCCGTCGTCTCCATCGGCGAGAACGCGCCCTCCGTCGGCGAGTACTGCGGCGAGGTGGGCGACCGCGTCGGAGCGTTTTCGACGTCAGATAAGCCCACGGAAGTGGGCGAATACTGCGGACTCGTGGGCGAGTACGCCGGAGAGGTCGGGCTGTACGCCGGAGAGGTCGGGCTGTACGCCGGCGACGTCGGCGAATACGCCGGCGACGTCGGCGAGTACGCCGGAGACGTCGGCGAATACGCCGGGCTCGTCGGGCTGTACGCCGGCGACGTCGGGCTGTACGCCGGAGACGTCGGCGAGTACGCCGGCGACGTCGGGCTGTACGCCGGCGACGTCGGGCTGTACGCCGGAGAGGTCGGGCTGTACGCCGGCGACGTCGGACTGTACGCCGGCGATGTCGGCGAGTACTCCGGAGATGTGGGCGAATACGCCGGG